CCCCCCCCCCCATCCTAGGCAGATCTTGTTTTGGTAATATGTTGATTACAGAAATAATAATGGGTTGCAGTCTGTTGTCATGCTTAGAGCAAATGCACAGAAATCAATATGATTTAGGTTAGCCATGATTAAGTCTACATTCTTCCAAATTTTGGCTTAAATCCAGCTGCTAGTCCCAATTAGAATAGAAGTCTTTGAGTCCGCTGTGTTTACATAAATCTTGACTTATCATTTGGCAATTGATTTAATGGGTCTCTTTTATTTCGGACTAGAAATTGGATTTAGGCCTATAAGTTGTGTATAAAAAGCAGAAGGTGGCACACAGTTGTATGAAGCACCATTATGAAACAATACTCATAATTAGTATAGTATAAGACATTTTTTGATTTCGATGAAGCAGTCTTAAAGAAAGAATGTAGGTCTTTGGACAATGGTAATATAAACATCAATATGTTTACTTCCTTGCTTTGCTTTCACATTTATCAGCAGCATCAGTTAAGATGCTCCTGATATAAACAAATCTCAAGTTGTCTGCTTAATTTTGTAGAAGGCCTGTCTTAATATCCCTCACATTTATTCCTCCCCTGCCCCCCCTCCTGTCTGAAAGGGAAATCATTCAAACAGGAAACTTCTTAAGTGTTTTAGGATGCTTGATTTTTTAAAAAAGTTTTTTTTGCTCAGTATCATACAACAAAAAATTCTTAGCTTGATATTTGGTTGGAGGAATAACAGCATAGATGCTGAAATAAATTATGATTTATAGAGAAGCACTGTAAGCAATTCTGTTCATCTTTCTGTAGTTATGAAAAGTATATGCATCAAAATACTTGATTTGTATAATTTATAGTTTAGTATTTGTCATTCATTTTCTCTCTTACATAAAAAATGTGAAGGTTTTTTTTGCGCGGGGGGGCTGTTCTGCTCCTAGAAGTGCCAAGAAGGTATAAATCATATTTAACAGGCTTAAGCACTGGCATGTGCTTTAAAAAATATCAGGTAACAGGTAACATGAAACACTTCTACTAGAGACACTGGAGAGCATAGCAGAAGTTATAAACCCGGAAGTTCAATATTTTCAACTCTGGGGGTAGGAAACCTAAACTCCTCCAGATGTTTTTGAAGTCCAGCAATCATTATAACTGACCACTAGCTGTGGTGGCATAGGTTGATGAGAATAAATACTGAAAATATCTGAAAGGCCACTGATTTCCCACCCCCTGTAATAGGCAATGTTGAACTACATGGGCAAAATCTGATCTAAGAAGTTGGGTCATATAATTTGCTTCTTTGATCAGTTAAAGGCATGGGAAATTTCAGAGAAATTCCTTTGTAGTGAGAATAAACTGTATTGGAACTCTGAAAGTGGTTGAAAATGAAAATTTAAAAAGGATCCCTGCTGTACTGAAAAGCCATTGTTCGTGAATAATGTAGAATGGCAGGAGAAATTGAACCTTGCAGTTAGGTTGATGTCTTCACACTTAGATTCAAATCTCTCTCACCCACCGTTAGTTTTCAGACTGGTTCCTCCCTCCATGGAAATGTTCAGCTCATAGCACAGCAAGTGAGATGGTGCAGTTAATTGCTATATGTAGAAAATTAGTTGCACATGTCTCTCTTCTTTGTAATTTAGCCTTCATTGTAACAGCAATCTGTTTTGCCTTTTTTCATTTGTGTCAGAGGCACAACAGTACAATTAATACATTTATCAGATAAATTTATTGCCCAGTAACAGGCAACATCAAAATCATTTGGAGCAGCTAACATCAAAGTCTTCCATAGTATATGTTGATGGGCATAGAGTATGCTGATGTAGGTGTAGTTTTGCCTGTTCTCTTCACTTGCAAGTGTTTCTTATAGGTTCGTGGAATTTCCAAAGGAACACTTAGGTGTCTGGCATAAAACAGTGATCCGATTGCATGCCCTTTCAGGTAACTTGTTTGTTTCTCAGGTGGAAGGAACATATTTGAGTCTTAGGAGGCTTGGGTTTGAGTTGATTTCTATCATAATATGTTCCAGGCTCTTCTAATACAGGGGTCCCCAACACCTGGTCCGTGGACAAGTCCTGGTCTTTGGCATTGCCAGGACTGGGCTGCGGAGACAAATTGGCCCCCTGTATGCACAGATGCATGCACACCCCTCCCACACATGCACGGTCCGTCCCACGCATGCACAGCCCCTCCCACAGCCCCTCCCATGCACACACGGCCCCTCACATGCCCGCATGGACACCCGCCGCATGCATGCTAAACTGGTCCATGGAGGCAAAAAGGTTGGGAACCACTGTTCTAATACATTAGTTAGAAGATGTTCTACCATCTGAAAGCCATCTGACTGAGCACCAAGTATGGGACTGTCAATATTAATAAAATTTTGGGTACTTAAGGGAGTGAATCATCATTACTCTAGATTAGATACGGGCAATTTGTACTTGTATCCCTGGGAATTTGAATTGCGGCACCATAGATGCCATGGAGACCCATCCCCCCAATGTCTAGTGTAGATGTTAAACAAAATAGGAGCTGGTACATTGCCCTGGTATGGACCATTCTTTTGAGTCCTATGTTGGCTGTGTTGTTCCTGACATTAACAAAAATGCTATGATTTTGCAGAAGGGTTGCTAGTAGAGATGGGCATGAACTGCTAGTTTGGCAATTCATGCTGGTTCATTTATCAGGTTCCTCTGGCAGGCACCCACTTGGAGGCAGTGGCCTGCCTTCCCTGCCCTGCCTCCTCTGGGCTCTGCCTCTGAGTGGGTGCCCATCAGAGGAGGCATGGCTTTGAAGTGCTGAACACATGTTTGGCCTATAAACCAACTGGCATGAGTCGCCAGACTGTCAGTTTGTGCCCATCCCTATTTGCTACAACTTTTGATGCTTTTTTTCTTTGTGTGAGACCATACGTTTCTCATGAACCAGCCCAGTACACTTGCTCATTAGGAGCTCCATAGACTTGGAGTTTGCTGTCTGATTTATTTTGTTGAAGAGCTAAAAACATCAACATTGACAGAAATTTGGTAGAATGTCACTACTACAGTCCTGAGAAACCTATATGTGGGACAGGAAGCAACTGTTAAAAATGAATAGGGAAACACTGATTGGTTCAAAATTGGGAAAGAAGTACGACAAGGCTGTATATTGTCTCCCTGCTTATTTAACTTATATGTAGAATGCATCATGCGAAAGGCTGGACTGGAGGAATCCCAAGCCAGAATCAAGATTGTCGGAAGAAATATCAACCTCCGATATGCAGACGATACCACTCTGATGACAGAAAATGAGGAGGAATTCTCGTAATGAGAATGAAAGAGGAGAGTGCAAAAAATGGTCTGAGGCTCAACATCAAAAACAAAAACAAACAAACAAACAAACAACTAAGATCATGGCTACTGGTCCCATCACCTCCTGGCAAATTGAAGGGGAAGATATGGAGGCAGTGACAGATTTTACTTTCTTGGGCTCCATGATCACTGCAGATGGAGACAGCAGCCATGAAGTTAAAAGACGCCTGTTTCTTGGGAGGAAAGCGATGACAAACCTCAACAGCATCTTAAAAAGCAGAGACATCACCTTGCCAACAAAGGTCCACATAGTCAAAGCTATGGTTTTTCCTGTAGTGATATATGGAAGTGAGAGATCGACCATAAAGAAGAATTGATGCTTTTGAATTGTGGTGCTGGAGGAGGCTCTTGAGAGTCCCCTGAACTGCAAAGAGAACAAACCTATCGATTTTGAAGGAAATCAACCCTGAATTCTCACTTGAAGGATAGATCCTGAAGCTGAGGCTCCAATACTTTGGTCATTTCATGAGAAGAGAAGGCTCCCTGGAAAAGATCCTGATGCTGGGCAAGTGTGAAGGCAAGAGGAGAAGGGGACAACAGATGATGAGATGGTTGGACAGTATCACTGAAGCTACCAACATGAATTTGACCCAACTCTGGGAGGCAGTGGAAAACAGGAGGGCCTGGTGTGCTCTGGTCCATGGGGTCACGAAGAGTCGGACACGACTAAGTGACTAAACAACATCAATACAGGAGGCCCATTGCATCAGTGGGACCTATGGAGGAGATGATTAATCAAATACATCTTGATTCAATAGGCCTAATATAGTTGTAATTTACTACTGCATTTCAGCCACTTAATACAGTTTATTACCTCAGTGAAAAAGGAAGATAATGTGAGAACTGGTTCTCAGTTTCTGCTTACTTTCAATGATGGACTGTCTGCTGAACAAACATAGGTCTAAATCCAGTTGTAGAACAAACTTAGACTGAT